TAGCAGTTGCAAATGCACATTCAAAATTCAAATCAATTTACACAACAAAGATTCTTTAAATATAATTAAATGTTCCTTTTTTTTGTACGGATTTACATTCTACTTTCTACAAACAACCAAAGACTGGCCATATTTAGGAAAAGTTAAAATATTCTGCTATTTTAGAGCAACGCCCATTGCCCAACAATTGAATTTATCATATCACGAGACAATGTTGAGATACGATATATTTTATTACAAATAATTTAACAACAGGAACTAGTAGCCTCCACTAGTATTTCCGGACCTTCGGGACCTTCAAGAAGCGATTCTATTCCTACCTTAAAGGGGCAACGCTATCGTGACTCCTCTGATTTTGCAAGTGTCTATGGACGGCGGTGATCGCTTACATCAGGTGACCCACTTGCCCGTTTGCCTCCTTCTTCCATAAAAACAAAAAAAATATGTGTTACAATGCACGGCACGTTTTTAAATCCCTAACACTTGGTATTATTTTTAGGGGTTCTTATCATCTCTCCTAAACAACAGATCGACTTGATTGATTGCTCCTCAATAACTTTTTTTTAATAAAGCAAATGATTTTAAAGCCTATCTATACTCATTTTCCTTATATAGTTTAAAATATAAACTCGAAAGTGAGAAAGAATGAAGGAAACACTGCATCGGTCAAGCAACAATGCAGTTAACACTAAATCGGGCTCAGTACTCACCTCCGTCACAATTATCATAGTAACGCCAATAACAGCGCTCGAGAACATCAACCATACGATAAGAAACACCTTAAAAGTTTTGAATATTAAAAACAAACGTGGTTATATGACTTGATTATTTCATATTTTTAAACTTTTAATTAAAAAATGTACAAAAGTTTGGGAAATAATATAATACTCTACGTGGGCAAGAAAAATGTTCCAAACGCCTAAAGTAAGGTACCTAAACTAATTCGTTAATACAACTATTATAAAGTCAAATAAAAAATATTTTTATTATGAATGTAGTAGAAGGATGTACCTGTGTACCATGATTTATCTCCAATAGACGAATACAGCAGGTTAAATCATCATAAAATTGACAAAGAGATTTTATATCTATATACTCAGGACTAATTTTAATAAAGCTTATCTGTCCATTGAATAAATACGGTAGGGGACGTTTTGTTATGAAAGTATATTTTACTAACGTAAAGTTATTATGGCGTAATAGTTGACTTAGTTTGTGATTAATAACCTTGAGAAACGCCAAAAGCATACACAAGTGGGTGATTAAATGAACCATTGTTAGGAATGCTGGAACCTTAAAGATGAGCACGTACGGTGAATAACCGCAAAGAAATTCGCTCAGTATCAAAATAAAATACACGATGGACATGAGTACAATCCACAAATGCAACTTCAGTGAGAACAGCTTGATACTAAATTTATTAATTTTGAGACCATGAAATAAATTACGAATTATGTTGTACATTTGTACGAATACTGTATCTTCATTGGTAAGTTCCAGGACAACAATTAGAACACTAACAATCAAGTTGTTGGTACCATCAACGTCAGGCAAATTATTTTTAAGATGTGAATATACGTTGAAGTTAATTGAAAAGAAATAGCACACTAAAGCCAATGTAACTATAAAAATAGACCAAAACGTGTTCAATATTCGGGTCTTCGGTTTTTTACTAATATCAGAACTATTAAATGGTTTTCTTAACCCGAAAACACCATTAACGAAATTGAATATTCGGAAATACTCGTAAAACATTTTAGTATTCTGTATTTAAAGCCGAAATAAGTAAAATGAACGAATTACTAGGACGGCACACGACGCTATAATAAAACGAAATGTGGCGTACCTATGTATCAAAGCTAACGATAATTTAATTATTGGCTCAACTTAGTAATTGCAGGGTCGCGGCCAAATTAAATTTAATCACCATCATTTGATACATTGTTATTTATTATTGCATCAAAAAAGCTAAAACTTTATTTTAATACCGTTATTACGTTTTTTAATTAAATTAATTCGAGATAATTCAACAACTAATTGCTCTTCTCGGAACTCTACATCAAAAAAATACCCTCGATATATCAACTTCGAATGTATTTGACTTTCAAGGTTTCATAGATTAACTTTCCGTTAATCTAGGAAAGCAAATGATAGCGAAGGGAATTTGTTAATTCGGGGCAACACTTGCTTAAAATGTGTCCGCAAATATTTATTTATTTATATTTGTATAAATGTCATAATTGGGCATACTGTGTTTCCTGTGTTGGCAAGCATAAATTAATTACATTTTTTTATGGGAAAAAGAAGTAAACGAGCAAGAGGCTCACCTGATGGTAAGTGATCACCGCCGCCCATTAACACCTGCAACATCAGAGGGCTTACAAACGTTGCCGGCCGTTTAAGAAAGAGTATACTGTCTTCTTGAAGGTTCCCAGGTCGTAACGGTTCGGAAAGATCGCCGGCGGCAGCTGATTCCACAGAGTGGTTGTGTGAGGCAGGAAACGCCTTGAAAATCGCGCTGTTGTGAACGCTGGATTAAAATTAAATAACAAAAAAAATATTCGTTTTATAGCATCTATAATATATCGGGTTAACTTGATTAACTCCTGATAATGTATGCACTGACATCGAACGTACAAGAGGAGGCATCCTGGTGTATGCAATTTGCCTACGTCATTGTGCTTGTTGGTAAAGATCCTAGTAAACTGTAAGAGACTGGAACCGTTGGCCTAAATATTAGTGTCACCAAAACAGAATACCTGTTTTGTTATTTCGGTGGTACATCCAGTTTCTGAGATGTAGCCTAAAAGGTGTATTCCGTAAAAGGTATCTCGGCTCATTGATCCAAAATGATGCGTCATTAACCGAGATGTTCCAAATAGATTAAATGCAGGCTGAATGTAGTGGGGCAGGTCTCAGGAGTTATATGTGAGCAGCGAGTGCCCCTAAAACTCAAGTAAAGATCCAAAATGAGTATATAAGGGAAAGCTTGAAAGTGGCACTAGTGACTGACAAAATAAAGAGCGGTAGGTTGACATGGTATGGGCGTGTTACGAGAAGGGATGAAAGATATGTGACCCTCCAACCACATTCATAGTCTTCTTGGGTGATGAGCATGAATGTGGTTGAAGGGTGTAAAGCTAGAAGACCGAGAAAGATTTGGATGGACTGTGTGAATGATATGTCTGTGAAAGAGGTGAGTGTTGAGCTGACGACTAACATGTTGACCACGCCACGTGGTGTGGGATAAGGGCAAGAGAAAGAAGGAGAAGACTTCATTAGCGTGACGAAATGAAAATAATTCGAAAAATTTCGAAGAAACGACGATAAAATAAACATATTAAATAGAATTAATAAAGGTTTAATCTTATCGAACCAGCTATCGATATAATTGTCCGACAGTAAGAACACGCATGGAATTCACTAGACGTCATTATAATGTGATAGGCGTGTTACATTACTGTTGAATACATAAGGTTAAATTAAATACTGATTGTTAAAGTATTAAATTAAATTCGTCTGTTTCCACAGTGACTCAATTTATATATAAAACTTAAATAATATTATTATAATACGTAATGACAAGCGTTATAATCGGAACGATTCAATGCGACACCGACCCGAGATTGCTTCATATCGAGTGGACTTGAGTAAGCCCGACTCGACGGTGATGAGCGCTAAAGAGAGCGAGACTGTTCTCCTTCCTTCGACCCCGAGAAAAACACGCCTAAAGAAGTATTCACTTTAAAAAGCCAATTGAACGAACGAGTGCGTCACCGACTTGAGCTTATATCGGGTTCAGCCTGTTACTGACTCGAGCTCTCTTGGTATAGAGTGGACCCGAGTAAAACCGATTCAGCGATATCGACCCGAGCGAGACGACCGTTACCGACCCCAGCGTGAAAACACGCCTAACGAAGTTTTCACTTTAAAAAGCCAATTGAACGAACTAGTGCGTCACCGATCTGAGCTTATATCGGGTTCAGCCTGTCACTGACTCGAGCTCTCTTGGTATAGAGTGGACCCGAGTAAAACCGATTCAGCGGTATCGACCCGACCGACGACCGTTACCGACCCCAGCGTGAAAACACGCCTAACGAAGTTTTCACTTCAAAAAAGTTATCAACTACAGAACGCTAGTAGAACATACAAGTCGCACGTTCGTACAAGTGATTGTTAATAAATAGCACCACTCTCACTGGCAGTTATCACGCGCCATCAAACAAAAATGAACTTATTTGTTAGTTCAACTATATCTACATGCCTAAAACCGCCTCTCTGTACTGTTTATAAGCCCCGCGTCGTCACGGTAGAGTTTTTCGCTGTGTCATTTTGGAGCGACAATAATAATGCTTCCATGTTTATTTGCGTTCACTGAATTGAACGATTCAGCGCGTCACCGATCCGAACGTGATGAGCGGCAGCGACACACCTTTCGTTCACTCCTGATTAAAAAGCATAAAGAAGTTTTTACTTCAAAGCCGTTGTTATTGAGACCATTCAGTGCATCGTCGATCCAAGTATACGAAATAATGTAACATGTTGTTTATCCAGTACGTAAAACCCAGTACTGTATAAAAAAATCAATTACACCTTGCACAAATAGATGTTAAACGTTATTTATAGCCGTCTGGGTCTTGGATTCGAATCTGTCGCATAAACAAAAGAAATTAATATCAACTCAATATTATAAAAGTGTTAAATAAAGAGTATCTTAAAGTGTTGAAGCTATAATGAACTAAGTACCATAATTCCAACCTTTTTCATTACAAGCGACATTTTTTTCCAGTAAATATTATTCATTCTACTTCGAAAGTTATTATCTTTAGTTCGTTTATCTAATCACCGCTAAAAAGGATCAGCGATATATGTATGTGCTAGTCCGTGTGACTGATATTGTGTTAATAAATGATAAACAACAGGTAGTGTTAATCGAAACAACACCTTTGAGAAGAAAACCATAATATTAAATCTTGTAGTGATTTTTATATCTGTGGAAAATGTCTAACAGTAAGTTAACGCAATTAATTATACTTTATCTAATTAGGTTACGATTGTTGCACCAAATGTTACCATGTGATGTTTGAAACATACTATAATAGTACACAAATTAATACTAAAAAAATGTCATCATCGTCTAATTTTAGTTTTTTAAGATATATAAATGAAGGATATTTTAAAATATATTGTTTTTGTAACTGTATATTGGTTTAATCAATCCTATATTAAATCCTGATATCAAATTACTTATGTAGGTTTATTGTACTTACTTGTTATGCTATTCTTACTGTATATTCCATTTTTGAGTAGATAATGATGAACAGAATTTATTAAATAGCCGGCGTTTTTATCATACTTCGATCTCATACTATTATTACATAGGAAACGGTGATACTTTTCAGTTCCTCCGCCCGGTGGGATACCGCCGCATTATCCTGGGTACCCACACCCGCCAGCACCAGGCGCCTTCACCTACGTGCCCACCCCAGTCGTGATGCCAATGTACCCACCACCGCAGCCAAATCCACAGCAGCCAACTCATGTCACCAATTACTACTACCCGCCGCCACCTCCGTCGCAGATACCTCCTGAACCTGAACCAGTCATAGTTGTTCAAGGTATTACCAATGATGCTTGATAATGTACATGACGCAAGTCCATACTGCGTCAGGTTTAAAAGTTGTTGCTTTATTTAAGTGTGTTGCTTTACATTATATGACATAAATAAATGAACGTGACAGATAATATTATATAACGTATGATACGGAAAGACATTGCAGTCTATATAATTGCAATCTAATTACACCAATTGGGGTAATTTGAGTGCCTCAGTTTCGGTGCGCTAGTGTCATTTCTACCTCGTATAGTGTCATTGGGTTGAAGTACCCAATGTAAAGTGGGAATTGCTCATAACAAGCGGATTGTACCACTTACCAAGCAATAAGAATTCAAATCTTGCCACACTGTTTATTAACATTTTCAAATATACCTTCCAGTAAGTGGTGAAAACAAAAGAATTAAAGTAATTGACAGTACTTTTCCTGGCGTGATAATTATTACGTATATGTCATTCTCATATGACTCACTTCTACGAGTAATTACACTTATACTATTAAAATGAAATAAATATACACAGTTATTTCATGATCGTTCTAATTATATGAATAAGTTATAATAATATAACAAATATTTAATCCTCTCATAATTAATTTATCACATTTTAAAATAAGCACTTAATACCCACTCAGGATGATTATTTTTCTTTTTATAAAAGCCGAGGGAAACGACTTAAGATTTCCTAAACCTTCCCCAGACTCGGGCCCAGTGATAGACTGGGCGCCGAGCACGCCAACAACGGCCAGTGCGTTGTCGGACCGCGCCTTAGTCGCTGGTAAGGAGGGCTGGGACAACAGCCCGCTGTGGGTCATCAGAGCTCACCACGGTGGTGATTTCGTGCCCGGGAAACTGGCCGTGCAACACCGCTCCGCGTACATACCGCACGCTGGGAAAGAAGTGCCGGTGCATAACTTCGAGGTACCTATATAGATATTTTCTTTGAAAGAATAATGAAAATTTGAATATCATCATGCCATTTACACTCTTAAAGATTAGCCAGGCAACTGCAACCCGAATCTTTCTTTTCGTAATCTAGGTTTTCTAAGTTTTCTCAAAATTAAGGGCATCAGAACTCCTACGGCAACCGGTCATTAATTAAAATCACCAATTAGGTAAATACCGTTAAGTACTTTCAAATTTTAGACTGCTGCCGCTGATGTCTGAATTCGGTTCGTGCGGGAAAAAGTCTCACACAAACAAAAATGTTTACGGACTCTCTTAAAAATTGCGTACCTTTGTATTGCAGTTGTGCAAGGCTCACGATTCTAATTTAGATACTAACCGATGCCACGCCTGTTCAGTTCCCATCGTTGTAAAGTAAAATTTAAGCTGCTTGTAAAATATGTGATATATGATGTCGAACTTTTTAGGCTTCTACAACAATAAGCCCGTAAATACGCAAAGCCTGCCTATTAACAGGTAAGAAATATATTAAAGAAAAGCTTTTTAAAAAGGGTTTATGATATAAATGAATACATTAATGACAATAACCCCTGGGATTGCATTGATCGTTATTTCTAAAAGAAAAAAAGTTGTATAATATGTTAATGTTATAAGGCGGAAAATGACAAAAAGAAAATTTGTAGGAAGTTTCTTTCCCATGCTGTTAGAGGAACCTAATTACGAAACTGTGGTATATAAAAAAAACAATGACTGTCGATAGATAAAAAATTGTTTCTTATGGCGATGATTTTGATTTTATATTGATTATAGGTCCTGTGTGCGCCTGCGCACGCAGTTCGTTGGGTGCAAGCTTCCAACGGGCAGGTGCCGGCGGGGGCCATCGCAGCTGGGAATACCCACAGCGCTGAGCCTCTCTACGTAGGAAGAGTGCAGCACATGCGCTCCGTTACTCCGGGAAAGGTATTTAACTTTTGAATTATATATATCACAATTAGAAACGAAGATAACGAATCGTCGTATTTTAAATGTGAGTATTATTTTTCTTCTTAATATATAAAGCGTGTCTCAGTAAGAGTGCACTTTTTTATTTTAAAATAAAAACAAGTATTTAACGACAGAGTTGTGATATTTTTATTGTTTTGTAAAGATGACATGTTCCGATTAAGTATGGAATAAAATATCCAGCAAATGAACCCCACGGGTCCGAAGACAGGCCATTACTCTTTTCATGAAATTTTGCACATCTCTGTGCAAAAGTCATGGATGCAGATGTGGCTGTATCTCATCGATATCTTATTGTTTCGGGTTTATACGCATAAACCCGTGAAAAAAACCCCAAAGAAAAAATCGAAACGTATGGACATAGTATATTTGGCGCAGACGAAATTGCGCGAGCCAGCTAGTATGTAAATAAATAGTCAACTTTACTTCCGAGTAAGGCGCCTGACACACGAACCACTATTTATCTCCAAAAAATTCAGGTTGGACTTTCATCTTGTGAAAATTACAACAAAAACACATTATATTCATCACAAATATCGTATTTTAACATTAATGGGATACACAGAAATATCCAATGCACTTTAATCGGTCTATGTAGTCCTAAACGTAGCAGCTGTCGCTCTCTTAGGTTATAACTGTAAAACAGTTCTATTTGCGCCTAAAAAATTTAAATTTAATTAATAAGCATATAATTCAAAATATTTAAATTTTCTTCAAAACTCTTAAGCATAATGGTTTAATAATTGGAATTGGATTAGCCTCAGATCAATAACTAATGTATTCATACTTAGCTGCACGAATGGAATAATGAAAATAGTCCACAAACAGTTATTCCGTGCGGGGAATGTACCTTATGATCATAATTTTTGTTTTTGTAATCCTCAATACGGTTTATTACCTGTTCTCAATGTGACCCCTATTTTGAAGAGTGTAAAACACCATTTCTGGTTTGCAATGTGTATGGTCTCTTTACTATTTTATTGAAATTTCGATTTCCAGATACATCCAAGTCACGGCTGTTGCTACATTTCATTCGCTGGAGGGGAGGTGTCATACAAGTATTACGAGGTTCTCTGTAGTGTGGTTGGTTGAATCGGCAAAATAGTTCGGTATTCTCAAGAATTGGACAGTAATCAATTATAAGACAGAACAACGATAAGATGATTAACTCAAAAGATATTTTGGCATTTTAATAATAAACTTTTTATGTACATGAATATTAGTAATAAATGTTTCCTAATTAAATTATTAAAATCATAGTTTGCTTCGTTGAGTAATCTCACTCATATTATCCTTTTCTCTTTATTTTATTTAGTGGCTTTTACACCAATATTCATATGCTCGCCCTTTTAGACCTCATTATAATTTATTGCTGAAAGAAAGCGCAATTATATAGATATATATCAATGAAAAACAGCCTTATGAGGCGAGTGAGTTTACATCAAGCGTCCTAAATTTTACAACCGCTTCGAAATTATAAAGATCAGTATTTACATAAGTAGTAATAGATGTATGTCTTTTTCGTTGATTGTGGCCCAGATGAAATCATTGATTTGTAAATCATACAACATCATATTATAGTTACCACAATGCAACTGACTAGAATTTGTGAGTGGAAAAGTTGTTCTTTTCCGAGCTTTTTATCTGAAAAGTTAAAGAAAGCGAGCCTCACCTGATGTAAAGTGACTATCGCCATCCATGGACAACTGAACATCTACATTTGAAGCGTTGCACATGCAATGCCAACATTAAAAAAAGTGGGCTACCACACTTGACACACGAAACGCTTCCACTTTACGCCGGTCTTTTCTGAGGTCGGTTTTGGGGTAAATGTAAATAACTTTAACTCCGGCGTAATTCAATTAAAATAAATTTTAAGCGATAGAGAAAAATCACTTATGAATTTATCAACAAGCAAAATTCGGCGGTCGCTTCTAGTTTTCGAAAAAAGAAATAATGAAATAGTGTGATTTTTACTATAGAAATCAGCTCGTATTTCTTGGTGGTCATAAAAAAAAAACCTAACATCGCCTGAACCTTCTAACCTAACCTAATCTATCCGAGTCGGATTCGCTCTGTGTCGGTTCTGTGATTCATTAAATTAAAAAAATCGGAATATCGATACGTGTATGATGTCGCCCGCTTCCTATATTTATCATGTTGGCAGAACTGTGTATTGAATTTTTGAAGTCAAACAAATAAATTGGTGGATTTCTTAGTACAAAAAACAAGTTTTAAATATTTTTTTTCTCGAAAACTATAAGCGACCGCCAAATTCTGCTTGTTGATTAATTCATTAGAGATTTATCTCTATCGTTTAAAATTTATTTTAATTGAATTACGCCGGAGTTAAAGTTATTTACATTTACCGGTTTTGGTCCAAAACCTATATGGTAGTTACCGTTGACCACAAAAGCACAAATCTTATATAAATAAAAATGAATTGCTGTTCGTTAATCTCGCTAAAACTCGAGAACGGCTGGGCCGATTTGGCTAATTTTGAATTTGAAATATTTGTGGCAGTCCAGGGAAGGTTTAAACGGTGAGAAATTATGGAAAAATTGGATGGAAAATCGAAATGGCAACAATTTTCTTCTTCTTCTTCTTCTTAATAATGGCTTGCTTTGTGAGTTATCACAATTCCGCCAATGTCAAGTTGTTAGCCATTACACGTAGGGGAATGACAGTTTTAAAATATAAATTTAGTTATCGGAGGTTACTGCTTTAAGCATGTTTTACTTGAAATAAAAGGACGTCATATACAGGACAACACATACATGAAACAGATAAAGTTGTGGTGATATAAAATTATAGTTTTAATTTGTTATGGGAAATAAATTTAGACAAAAGCTTGGGAATTTGATAATCTCTTATACTTAATAAGGTTTTCATGCAAATGGGACGAGGAACACAAGTGGGTAGGACGTCATAAAGGGAGATATTTAGTTTGGGACAGTTAAAGAATAGATGGTCCACTGTACCATCCTCGGTTCCGCAATCACATACAGGGTTATCACGTATTTTGAGTTTAGCCAGGTGAACTGGGGTAATAGTATGGCCTATTCTTAATCTACAAATAGTAGAAACTATTCTTTTATTAAGAGTCTTCATCTTGAAGAACCATGGTGTAGAAGGAATAGTTTGTTGTATGTCATAATAATATCTGCCAGTATGGTTCTTAGTCTGTAGCCAGTGAGTTTCCCACGACTTAAATAGGAGTTCATGAGCTAATGAGTATAAGTCCTGATGGAACACCTTGGAATACTTAGGATCACCAGAAGAAATGGCAAGTTTAGCACAAGTATCCGCAGTTTCATTGCCTGGTATGCCATGGCAACAATTTTATTTTCCCATACAAACTGTTCCTACCTGTCAAACATTTTATGGGTGCATTCCGAAAATTCATTTTCTATGTTGTCAGATTCACAAATTCCCTAGAAATAATTTACATGGCAAAACAACGTTTGCCGAGTCAGCTAGTAAAGGATAAATTTAGAATTACTGCTGCAGCAGAAATTGCAATACAGTCCTGTTGAATCTACGTTCTATCGTCTAATCCAGTGATTATCAACCTTTTTTTTGTTGCGGCACATATTTAACGATTTCAAAATTTGGCGGCACACAAAGAAAAAGATATAAATTATTTACTTACTACAACACACTGCATAAATAGTTTATGACAAAAATTTTAAATATAGGAAATAAACTTATATATATATACGCGAAGAAATACAGACACAGTGTGCGTGTGCAGCAAGTCAGCACATAAGCTCGGGATTCCCGGTGTTCCATCACAGTAGCATTTAGTAGAGTGCGATAAAAACAAAAAAAAACTTATTTGTAAAACCGTGTAAAAGCGAAAACGTGTAAAACAAGTACCGTGTAAATCGGGGAATAGGTGTACTGCAAAGTTAATAAGTTTACAAATTTATAAATTGACACTACATGCAAATAAATTAATATTAAAACGAATCACATACATTTGTCAATTTTAACGAAAGAAAAGGTGCAGTAAGTACTATGCAACACCTTGTGAATCCCAACTATCACTAAAACAACACGTTTTGTACGCAGAAGTGGCAAGTGTGCGCCGACTTGAGACATATTCCTATTGCTATGCACGCCGCTTCATCATAATTTGGCACTAAGAAAAAACCCGTTGCAAAGCAAATAATAAAATAATTATTTTTTTTGTGGATTTAAATATAATATATTCATGTTAAAAATATTTTTCTTTTTAAATGATATAATTTAATAATATTAACATTATTATATATTTGCAAAATTTGGCGGCACACTTTTGAAATTTGACGGCACACAAAAGTGCCGCGGCACAGTGGTTGAGAATCACTGGTCTAATCTATCTAATTTTTGTCAAATTTGGTGCAGATGAACATTCGACAGAAAATGTCGCTTATATATATTTATAATCAATTCCCATATCCCTTGATTTCATAATCGTTTTCAATAAATACTAATAACTTGCAGGTTTGTTTGTATGTATTGTTTAAAATGTAATGGGTAGTCTTTAAAAACAATTAACTTTCGCTTTTTTTAATTTATAATATGAACAACACTAAAATATACATATATAACAATAAATACATCGTATTGCGAAACGTAGAAAACTTTAATTAATCTAACTAACTATGTGATAACTCGATTAGTTATGTCGTTATCTGGCAAGAGGTCCGGGCGCGTCATCCACGACCATGACGTGAGGTGGAGGATTAAATCCATCATCTGGGTTCGGCCGCTGTACCACGTTCACTCCACCACCGTCGTCACAACAGCAGCTGCAGCATAACCCCATTGCCTGCAAAGATTGGCGTAATTTTTTCAATGAGGCACAGAAGAAGCATTCACGTTTTATATATTAATTTAATCTGCTGGCTGTGAACATAATTAATCCGTAATGCACGATTGGTGTTACGTACAAACTGTAGGTACATGAAATTAATATTTAAACTAAAAATTTTACAAGAATAATTAAACGTACTGGTTAATATAAATATAAACATAAATTCATACTAATATTATAAATGCGAAAGTAACTCTGTCTGTGTGTCTCGCTTTCACTCCAAAACTACTGAACCGATTTAAATGAAATTTGGTACACATTAGTCTAGAGCCTGAGAGAGGACATAGGCTATTTTTTAATTGGAAAAAAGTTTTGTAAAGGGTTAAAAGATATTTATTTAAGGGCTTCAACGCGAGCGGAGCCGCGGGCGAAAAGCTAGTAACAGTAGATATAAATAAACAACCAAAGCGATACGATTGTCGACAGAATGGAAAACCACTTTTGTACTGAAGTGGTTGGACATTAACAGTTATGTACCCACTATTGACTTAGATATCTAATGAACAAGAATAATCTATAACCTTGTTAAAGTCAACACTTATATTAATTTGAATTGTAATGATTTACAATAGCACTGACTCTCTTAGAAACTTATTTAGCCTGATTGCTGACGGGTTTTATATTAGTAAATTAAAGCTCCATTTTAATGTAACAAATAAAATGTGAGTAAAAAAAATATTGAGTTTCAGTGACATAAATACATTACAATGTGATTTATTTGTCATTAGCGTACTTATAAATTTAAAAAATAAGTTAATATTTTAAGTTATTTATACACATAAAATTAACATAAATAATGAAATTAAATTACTCGTTTAGTAAAAGATCACTCACAAGTATTGGTTTTATCGACAGCAACTTGAATTATGAAAGATTTTGGCGCACACCAAATGAGTAATGATATAGCTAGGCACGTTAGTCATTCCTCGGTTAGATAAGATATATTATCACTTCTATTTAAACTTCTTATCATCAAAAGATAATAACAGCGGTGTCGATATACTTAAGTATTGATCGGAAATTTTCGCTAGATCATTAACAATATCTAGTGTCATTTTTTAATGTGTTCATTTTTAATACGACGATGTTATACTCCCGGCAATACCGCTGGCGACAATTGCACATGAAGAAAAAAGAAAACACCGTTACTAAAAAAACATTAAAATAAGTGTTATAAATCATTATTTTGAAATACCGTATCTGAATATCAGAATAAAGGAATAGTTAT